ATCTTGTTTTGCAAGCCACATTGCAAACCGTAATGTCTTTGTACTAACAAGCTAAAACAGATTGATTCTTTTACCAAACTAATTAACTTCTGTTTTAGAAATTAAACAATCTAAACACATTGCTTTAACTGAAACAATGACAGAGATTTGATCTCTAGTATCTTTTACTCAACTGCACATCACCTCATTCAACTCTTCTATAGCATTCATAAACCCTTCAATAATGCAACATGTCCTTTCAGAAAAGCATTACTGCTTTACTCAACCTGGTGATGCTCTCAGCTACACTTCATGTGAAGATTGCAGAAACATGGAAAAATAAAACTTTAGAAAAGTAACTTGCTCTTGGGGTGAACAAAAATAACCTGGCCTGCTTTCACTTTACTGGTTGGCTTGGTGGCACTATTCAAATGTTGTATGGGATCCAGAGCGTCAAGACTAGCAGTTTACTCTGCAAGAAAGCAATTGTTTTTTTTTTACATTTTTGCCATCTTAAAACCTTCCTACTTCTCAATTAGTTTTGCAGTTAAATCAATTATTTTCACAGTAATTAGATAATGCTGAAGTCATTCGAGATTTTAGTATTGCAGCAAGAAATTCATTTTCCACCACTATGAACAATAATTAGCAGCTGATTATATAAACTGTTTTGAGTCAGCACACCCTCTCTACCCTGCCGCAACCCTCAGTCACCTCAAGTAAATCCCTCATCTCCAACTAAAATTCCAATTTATGGCATAATGTTTGAAAAACTGATGAAAAAGACATTGGAGAAAACACTCATGCCTCAAGTTCCTCTTCGACAGCTTTGGCAGGGGATAAATGAATTGGAATAGAATAAAATTACCATTTCCATGAAATCTGTCCCTACATACAATTACACTTCAGGAGTTGAAAATTCCTAAGACCCAGGGTACATAGTCTGGACATTCAGTATGGTCTTTACTGCCAACTTTATGCACCAGTAAGGGAAATAAAGCCTTGTTTTTTTTTTAAAAAAGAAAAAAAGCAGCCCTCCTTGAACTGAAGCATTGAGCAGCCCGGGGAACACAGCATGTTCTGCTTTCCGTATTTAGTGTTGCCACTGGCCATTCTCAAATTAGGTACATGGCCAGTCAGATCTAAGTCAAAACCTAACTGAATCATCTCAACAGCAAGTACAATCCAAATCTCAAGTATCTGTTAGCCTGTATATTTCCTTTTTATTTTTTTCCCCAACCATCTTTGAGGTACAAAATTGAGCATACTCAATTATGATTCTCTCAGTTAAGGCTCATATACATTCTGGGAACTAGTTCAAAGATGTCCAAATTTGTTGGATCATGATAACAATTCTAAGAACAAGAAACTAAGTTAACATCAAATGGAAATTTTAGGAACCTCCCGCCATCTTAAATAGTGTTCACAAATTCTTCCACTTCTTGTAATTAAATGATAATTCTTTAATGATTACCAGTCTATGGATGCAAAACAAAAAAAAAACACTGAAATAACCATCCCTATAGACTTGACTGGAGCAACAGTCCACTATGTCTATAATCTCCAGCCACAAACTACAATCCCAACAGTCAACTTCTCAATGTTTGTTTACAAACTTTACATTTTTAAACTTTGACAGCTTCAAGACACAGATGTGAATCATAGCATCGTTTTGCAAAGAAAATATTTCAACACCTGAGGTTTGGACTGTTATGCCTTGAGATTATACAATTATAGTTTGCAATATGAAATAATTACAATCAGTAAATTTGGCACACAAACAAACCAACTTAAATTTATGTACTACCTTCAGTGTCAATGGAAGAGCATCACAGTTTTCCTTCATTAAATGTGGGCAACAACAGTGAGACCAGCATGTGTGTCTCTTCATTTGCCATTGAAACTTAGACAATGGACGGAGACACTAAATTTGCAAATCATTCGCAAAAATACCTTTTCTCAAAGACAAAATCAACTTGTCCAAAGAGATCATTGTGCATCTCTGGAGCAGGTGGGATTTAAACCAAGCATCCTGGCTCAGAGGTAGGAACACTACCACTGCACCACTACATACCATACATCTTTCAAGGTCCTGCTACAATCTTGATATTTCAGAGACAAGCAAATCATTTCATCTACATACTCAAAATCTGATGTCCTAAAATCCTCAACTGAATTATTGCATACATACCAAACAAACAAAACAATGATTTTCGAAACTTGATTGGCAAAGACAAAAACAAACAAGTTCGACCTAGCTCAACTTTTGTAGTAAATGAGAAGTTATCATTCATGAATCATACCTGGAAAACGAGGGGCTCCGGGTTAAAAGCCAAAGTCAGAAGTAGCTGCATCCGCTCAGAGTCTTTCAAATTTTTCATTAAAAAGCTTCCAGAATCCTTTGTTTCAGCATACCTGCGTACTATTCTGTCTAGGAGTCTTTGTGATGGACAATGCACTAAGTCTGACCACCCCTCCACGATATCTGGGGTCAGTAACCGAACTTCACCATTTAAACGGGAAAACTGAGTCTTGTAGATAGCTTGCGTAACATCACAACGAGGGCGCCCAATAGCCCGTTTGCAGACTTTTTGGTCCATATCAGCCAGTTCTTGATTAGAGCCCAAGCGTTTTAGAACAATACGTCTTGCACCTTCTCTTGGCTCTCCATACTGAGCAAAATAGACATTTTTCACATTCAAAAAGTCCAGTATTCGGAGACGACCCCATGTCTCAAAAGTGATTTGCCCATTCATAAACTTACGACACCAGCTGGTACCAAAACAAGCCGGGCACTTGTTCAGGCTAATAAAACGACGATCTGCAAGCTCATTCTTCTGAAATGAGGCAATAAACGAATGTGTATTTAACAATGTAAAAACCAGCAGACTCACCACAAATAGGAACTTTAGACAACGGTACAAACGACCAAACTTCAACGTAAGCAATCGCCACATGGTTCTGCTCGCACTCAACTTTACTGACACATTTAGTTAGAATCCTAAGAAATACTCAGAGTCCATATTAAGAAGCGACCTGACCCCTCATACTCCGTTTGGGTTCAATTTGATCAGACAAGCAGCCGAGAATAAGTGAAAGCACACCAGTTCCAATGATCATTTGTCTCATATCTTCAGGATTTCAGCAAATCTGTTCAAAGAAGCTTCTGTCCTGTAGAAGGGTCTAGAAAAAAAATAAGGCAAAGCACATTATTTGCAACAATTTTAAGCCACATGTAATATTAAATTCTAATCAATTTTCAGCTGCATTGCCTACAATGTAAAAATCCAAGGCTACAGCCGTTTGAGGAGCAGAGTTAATAAAAGTGCAAAAGGTCATGCAACCTGAGGAACCAAGAGAGGTCTTAAGCCATATTTTTCAATTTTTGCAAGAATGTTAGCACACAAGGCTCTTCAGTCTATCTTGCTTGCACTAACACATGGGTACAGCTACCCAATTGATTCCATTCCCAGGTAATGAAGTTTTTCACTCACATGTTTACTCAATTCTCTTTAAATGACAGAGTTTGCTCCCAACATTTTTTCAGGCAGCACATTCCTCACCAGGTTCAAAGCAAAACAAATAATCAGAAGTCCAAAGATGTGCAGGCTAGGTGGATTGGCCATGCTAAATTGCCCATAGTATTCAGGGATGTGCAGATTAGGTGGGTTGAGGAATGGGTCTGGGTGGGATGCTCCGAGGGGTAGTGCTGACTTGTTGGGCCGAAGGGCCTGTTCCCACACTGTAGGGATTCTATGATGATGGAGACCATGGGTAGTGATAATGTCACTAGGCTAGTAATCCAGAGGCCAAAGCTCTGCAAAGAAAATGGGTTCAAAAATTCCACAACAGTAGCTGGTGGAATTATCAATTGATAAAAATCTAGAATTTAAAGCCAATTTAAAATAACTAACCATGAAATTATCCCTATTGTCATAAAAACCCATCTGGTTCACTTATGCCCATTAAAAAAGAAAATGTGTCATCTTTACTTGGTTTGACCTAAATGCAACACCAGGTGCATAGCAATGCAGTCAAATGTTAACAGCACTCATTGGTAATTAGGGATGGATAATAAATATTGACCTTGACAGCAACCCTCACATGCCATGAATGAATAAATCTCAAAAGTTCTCTTCACTTTCATATTTACTGCTTATTTGTCTTTTATCTTGGAAAGGAAAGTAGTTTATGTTTAAACCAAAAAAAGTTTTTACAGTTGCCTTGATGGGTGATCAAAGCCAACGGCAAGAATATTGTGCAAGAACTGTGATTTTAATAAATGCTCCATAATTATTTTCCAGAATGGTATTAATAACATTCCAGAATTTTCATTGAACTGAATTTCTAATTATAATTAGAACTAGTCAAGTCAGCAATAAAGAAATAATCTAACTGTGCCCTCAAAAACACAGGATTGGTGTCGTGACCTATGGAAAAACCTTAAATACATCAGGCTAATTTTTACACATAATTACTTTATTGCCAAGGCCTTTCTGCTAGCATTTTGATAATAGTTTCAAACAAAGCAGAGTTTCAGGGACTAAGCACCACCTAAGGTCAGTGTATTGTCAGCAAGTTGCTATCCAAAGGTAAATGCAGTCTGTATTTAGACTCAAATTGCTAAATTATTGTAGGAAATAGAAAAATCTTAGTGATTTGGTATTCCAAGTGCAATACTGACAGCTAATTTTGGAAAGGAGCTTAAATCTATCCCTATATACCATGAGCTAATTAGTCATTAGTGGCTAAAACTTGAAAAACAAATTAAAGAACCTCAAGTTATATGGTAGTACCAACTCAAATCCAACAAGGTAATGGGCATGGTATCCACTTCAACTGAAGCAAGCCGAGCAATTTTTCACACGTTTATACACATCTTTCAAATAATTGCTTAACATTTTTATTTTGAAATGCTGATAACAATTATTGCCATGCAAGTCCAATATTAGTGCTGTTCCACACAGGAAAAAGACAAAGACAATGTTGTCGAGGAGGATACTGAGATACAGGCTATTAGACTAGACGGGATTGAGATTCATGAGGAGGAGGTGTTAGCAATTCTGGAAGGTGTGAAAATAGATAAGTCCCCTGGGCCAGATGGGATTTATCCTAGGATTCTCTGGGAAGCTAGAGAGGAGATTGCAGAGCCTTTGGCTTTGATCTTTATGTCGTCATTGTCTTCAGGAATAGTGCCAGAAGACTGGAGACTAGCAAATGTTGTCCCCTTGCTCAAGGGGAGTAGAGACAACCCTGGTAATTATAGACCAGTGAGCCTTACTTCGGTTGTGGGTAAAGTGTTGGAAAGGATTATAAGAGATAGGATTTATAATCATCTAGAAAGGAATAATTTGATTAGGGATAGTCAACACGGTTTTGTGAAGGGTAGGTCGTGCCTCACAAACCTTATTGAGTTCTTCGAGAAGGTGACCAAACAGGTGGATGAGGGTAAAGCGATTGATGTGGTGTATATGGATTTCAGTAAAGCGTTTGATAAGGTTCCCCATGGAAGGCTATTGCAGAAAATACGGAGGCATGGGATGGAGGGTGATTTAGCGGTTTGGATCAGAAATTGGCTAGCTGTAAGAAGACAGAGGGTGGTGGTTGATGGGAAATGTTCATCCTGGAGTTGTTACTAGTGGTGTACCTCAAGGATCTGTTTTGGGGCCACTGCTGTTTGTCATTTTTATAAATGACCTGGATGAGGGCGTAGAAGGATGGGTTAGTAAATTTGCGGACTACACCAAAGTCGGTGGAGTTGTGGATAGTGCGGAAGGATGTTGCAGGTTACAGAGGAACATAGATAAGCTGCAGAGCTGGGCTGAGAGGTGGCAAATGGAGTTTAATGCGGAAAAGTGAGAGGTGATTCGCTTTGGAAGGAGTAACAGGAATACAGAGTACTGGGCTAATGGTAAGATTCTTGGTAGTGTGGATGAGCAGAGAGATCTCGGTGTCCATGTGCACCCAAGTTGCCACCCAGGTTGATAGGGTTGTTAAGGCGGTGTACAGTATATTAGGTTTTATTGGTAGAGGGATTGAGTTTCGGAGCCATGAGGTCATGTTGCAGCTGTACAAAACTCTGGTGCGGCCACACTGGGGAGTATTGCGTACAGTTCTGGTCACCGCATTATAGGAAGGATGTGGAAGCATTGGAAAGGGTGCAGAGGAGATTTACCGGGATGTTGCCTGGTATGGAGGGAAGGTCTTATGAGGAAAGGCTGAGGGACTTGAGGCTGTTTTCATTAGAGAGAAGAAGGTTAAGAGGTGACTTGATAGAGACATACAAGATGATCAGAGGATTAGATAGGGTGGACAGTGGGAGCCTTTTTCCTCGGATGGTGATGGTTAGCACGAGGGGACAAAGCTTTAAATTGAAGGGTGATAGATATAGGACAGATGTCAGAGGTAGATTCTTTACTCGGAGTAGTAAGGGCGTGGAATGCCCTGCTTGCGAAAGTAGTAGACTAGCCAACTTTAAGAGCATTTAAATGGTCATTGGATAAACATATGGATGATAATGGAATAGTGTAGGTTAGATAGGCTTCAGATTGGTTTCACAGGTCGGCGCAACATCGAGGGCCAAAGGGCCTGTACCGCGCTGTAATGTTCTATGTTCTATGTTCCTATTTTGGGTCTGGGGCTTTATCCCAACATTGCTGAAATTGTATGGATGCCTGTTTAACGTCTAGAGCTACCTTACCTGCAGTGAGAGAACCAACCTGAACAAGCTGCCAAGTCACAATACCTATAATACGTGGAGGGATTAAGCGAGTGCTAAACTGTCACGTGCACACTCTAAATTAAGGCATTAAACAGACAGCCTCTGTTCTTCATGATGATCATTAAAACAAAAACACTATTAGAGCAGGATTCTCCCCAAGTCCTGGACAACACTTAACTGATACCCAAAACAAATAATGATCTTCTTACTATTTTAGAGCTTACTGGGCACAAATTGGTTGCAGCACTTTGCTCATTGCCCACTTTGGGATGGTCTGAAATTATGAAACTACTATATAAAAAGCAAGTTCTTCCTTGAAAAGGTATTATTTGAAGGTGTTAACCTTTTGAGCAAAGTACAATATTGGAATTAATTCTAGTGCCCAGATACCACTTACAAGGTGTCAGATGAACAATGTCATGTTATTCTATTTTTGTGGCTACCATTAAATGGAAATTCTTGTTGACAGTATTTCCCAGCTAATGTGTTGTGTACCTTCCTTTATATCACTAATTAGAACAGTATAATGATCTCAGTTCAGAATCTTAATGTTTTAAGTGATTGCTTCAACATCAACTGTTTTGTTCAGAAATATGAATTCTAAGTAATCCAAGAGCAAACAATGATTGTCAATTTAATGTATTTTCTGAAGTTCTGAAACATACAAAACAAAGCATAATCAGTAATTTTGCCCTATACTTCAGACGGCAATGCGTAAACAGAACTAGCTGCCAGAGGATAACGTAGAGGCGGGTACAATTATAACATCTGAAAGACATTTGGACAGGTACATGGATAGGTTTAAAGGGATATGGGCCAAACACAGGTAAATGGGACTAGTTCAGTTTCGGAAACATGGTTGGCATAGACAAGTTAGGCCGAAGGGCCTATCTCCGTGCTGTATTACTTGACAGTTTTTTTTCAGAAAAAAAAAGTGCTGTCTCAAATATAATCTGGGTCAAATTGTTGCTGAATTTTGAGATTGATGACCTCAAACCTCTTCAAATAATTTAGAAACATGTTTCAGAAGAGACTACTAGAAATTAAATAAACATTACTTCAGGGTATTTCATCTGAGGATATGTGGGAACACTGAGCTGGCCATACACTATTGTGATATAGCTTCAGGCAAAAATACAAATTCCAAATTGACAGCTTGAGGGGCTACAGAATTAAAAGTCTTCTCACTAGCTCTCGCTTCTTGTATTTTTCCTTAGCATTTTTTTCAGGTAAGAGCTGGTACGATGTAGACAAAGACACTGCATCAATACACACAGCTTTTATCCCCTTTGTGATTACATGGAAAAATGTGTCCTTTAGCAATTCTCATTGTACCATCTCTTTCGCCCCCACTTGCTTCAATTACCACTATATTTAATTTTTGTTATTTGCTCTCCTCCTGCTTGGTCTCCTTCCAATTTGCATTTCTGACTGTTTCTAACTACAGGTTTCAGAATGTAAC